CTTTCGAGAGGAGGCTCGCTGTCCACTTTGCTGGAAAAAGATTGAAACAGAAAATATATTAACTGTTATTTTATTGTGTCACATTTTAAGAGAGATTGCTGCACGGACTTTTTCTCAGTCCCCTACGCCACACTATTATTTCATATGTACTACCCTTCATAAAATAAGTTTAATTGATAAATTTAATTGATAAATTTAAATAGATGTATGACCTAGAATTTAATGTTTTTCAAAATATCCGTGTATAGTTCGATCCGGGTGTATAAAGATAAGCACGCGGCGTGGAGTAATAAATATTAAAGATATTAAAAAATTAGTTAAGTACTTGTATTCAAGGATGCGCTCCACCGAAGTCATTTGGTTCTCCAATTCTGCGCTCTGACGCATGCCCCACTGGAACATACCGGTGAGACCGATACTCTGCATGATCGCCAGGCATACAAATCCGTCATCCATTGAACCTTGACTGTAGTTGTCTAGCACGAGAAAGCTCAGCGTGACCAACGTGATGTACAGTACACAGAAAATATCCAGCCAAAAACCGAAGGCGAGCGAGGTCGAGATAAAGATATACCATGCGGACGAATGAATATCCTGATAATTATCAAATTCCATTGTGAGAATCGCTTCCGCCCCAAACGCGCGAATCGTCGACAACCCTTGAAGTGTCGCGCTTAGGTGAGCAAACACCGGCAAACGTGCTAAGAGAAATTAGAAATTCCATTTAGTTTACCCGAAGAATTACAATTTATCGTAAATTCCATGAGAGTAATGATTTGATTTCTATCTGTGATGGAATTTATTTTAGTCTATCGAAGAATACTGTGTCGACTATCAAAAGATGAGTTTGCGATACTCACTGACGCCTTCAAGACGCTTGACGCTACGACTGGTGGCCAGATAGAATATTCTCATGTAATAAAAGACAATACCAATTAGCACCGTGGGTATCAGCAGCCACACGTTCGCGGTGGCTACCACAATGATAATGCCCAGCAGCGCTATACCGATCTGAAGACAGTCAATAAACGCGGGCAGCATCTCATCAACAGCTTCCAATATGTCTTTGGAAAAGCGATTGAGTACACGTCCCGAAGTATTATAGTGTTAAAGAATCGCATAGTGGCGCGGCTAATGCTGCGAAACATGCGATCGTGCAAGCGCATTGAAGCCCTCATGCATGTCCAAAAAAACGTCC